CACATGGAGGGTTCGCCGTCCAAATGAAATGCCACCATTGACAGCCGCATCTTCAGATCCATCTGCTGAAGGTCGAAGAATTTGTTGATTTTATAAATCCAGTTTTCCATATTCGTCCCGTTAAATCGCGGTACCTCAATCCGCAGAGTTCTCAAAAGTGAATTCACCTCTGCTGAGTTATTCTCTCCATCGAATCAACGGCTTCCCATTTGGCTGTTTTCTGCTTCCGCACTGTTCTGTCCTGTCGTGGGCTCCGCCGATGGTTCTTCCACCCGTCGCGTCTGAGACATCTGGTTTAAGTGCTCCTCTGTGCTGACCATGTGCTGTGAAAGCATTGAAGAAAACCTCTCCAGTTGAGAATGAGCATGCTGCTTGAAGCTCTGTCCCATGGCCTTCATGATTTCGGCGAGTTCCTTGTTCCTCATCGTCTCTCAACGAAAGCACCAATAATAGGCTTAACAAAGTGTAAGCAACACGCACTCTTCGAGACAGTGCCAATCTCCTCTTGAGAACCAAATTCTTATTCAACATAATACCAAAATTGTCTAGCAACAACTTATATATGGTTCTTACAAATTGATCATAAAAGGGAAATGGAAAACTAGCAAATGAAATAACAGAATTCGGTTACGAGGCTTGGGAATCCACGCCTAGCTCATCGTTACTCTGCCATAACAAACTCCTTCAACCAACGAGGTCTCACGCGTTGCTTCTTCTTCCTTCGCGAGAGCCCTCATTAGATCAGTGGCTCCCTATCTGTCTCGCCCATTCGTTCCCTCTGGTACTTCAGGATGGACTTCCCTTTCATGGGCCAAGGGCCTAGCCCAGCTTGTCACTTGCTTTTGGACCGAGCCACTGTCCAAAATAACTTGGGCTTGGCTAACAACTATGGTCTTTGCTTTTCTCGGTTGGTTATGGGTAGTGGTGGAGGATAAACCGAACCGTAGGTTCGGTTTTTTAGGGGTGTGAAAACTGTATCGACCAAACCGATGAACACCACTATAAAGATTATTTTTCCAATAGGTATGGACTATAATTATGGTTATTATTTTATGCAACAACATGGGATGGATAATGATGGTTTTAGAAAAAAATTTAAAAACTCATTATAGTGTGGCCTTCAAGTTTTTCCATAATACAATTTTTCCATAACGAACACGTTATTGATATGACCAAATTTGCCATTAACTAGGAGTTCGAGGAAAAAATTGTCAAAACTAAATGACCAAGGACCAATTTATGACTTACCGATATGCTTGGGGACATATAACGCCAATTCCCCTGTAAATATAAAAATGTATAATTGTTTTATAGAAATTTATTTAATTGGGTGAATTCTAATTGTGATTCGCAAGTTTAGAAAGCAAATTTTGTTTTGGTCATTAACATTAAAACATCGAACAACTAGTCTCTCATTTATAAAGGTGTCTTTTTGTCAAGAATTCAGTTTAAAAGTGGATGACAAATGGAATGTGACTGTTATGTGACACAGTATGAATGGGCATTTAATATAATGTCATATGACTGTCACATCATTTTTCATCCACTTCTTATTGGAATTCTTGAAGAAAGGATTTTAACAGGTCAAAGTTTTATAGATCAAGGAGTAGAGTTGCAAAACGTTTTGAATTTTTAGGACCAAAATGAGATTCTCTCTTACACTATGTTCAGTATGAGGATGAAAAAAAAGGAAGCATGGAGAATATAAAGATCCAAGTGAGACAAATAAAGGAAAATAACTAGTTTTATCTGTCTAAGTAGATTGAAAAAGAGAAGAGAAACTGTCTAAAAATTTATTATAATGTTAGGAACCCTAATTGTAACTCCTACTTTTTTAATATCACCTTATACAATGTATGAGTTGTTATCTTTTAATAGGTATTTAAAAAATGATAATGTCAATTAATATTAAAAGATCATATCTAGCAATGAAAATATGATAACTTGCGTCACTTGAGTAATATTTGGAGATCCCCAGCAATAGTCGAAACTTAGTTAACCCTTTAGCCATTGTACAAAGTGATGTGGTGTCATTAAGGGTGAAATAGTTACTTTCTTCATTGTTTGTTGTGCAATTTTTCCTCTATTTTCGTTCCCAAGTTAGAAGGATCAAACTATATGGACCCCATGATTTTTTTAACTTTTTAATTTTTAATTTTCAAATAAATCAATATTCTTATTCGCACTCTAAAATTCTTCCTATAATTTCTGTCCTTTCACTTTTTTATTTGATCAAATATAGCATAAATTCTTAACGAAAAGGCAAATTTGACAGTAAGGGAGTTTTTTACGCTATCGATAAGTACTGTTATTTAAACAATCTAATTAATTTTTTAAAAATTAGATCTGCAGTATCCATATTAAAAATTAAACAAATCACATAGTTGCCTCTCAAATTATAGGCATTGTCATAAAATACTTCTTGAACTTTAATTTTAACTTTTCACCCATTGAATTTCACTAATTCTTACAAAATTTCTCCTTTTATTAAATTTTTACTTCCGTTATTGTTGTTGGCCGCCATTTATGAACCCCAAAAGTCCTTAGGTCAAGCAAATTAAGGAGAAAGTTAGGTATAGTAAAAAAAAAAAAAGAGATAAGTCCTGTTGTAATTGTAGTTACATGTGACTGTATGAGTAGGAGCTAACAGAGTAATTGTTTATTAAATTATTCAAATGACACTCTTTATTTGTGATATAGATGTTATTTATGTTAAAAATCTTAACATAAGGAGTTCTTTTGTTAATTTTTACATTTTACATGACATATTCTATCAAGAATTTAACAGAGGGGAAAAATTTGCAAGAACTACTGAAGTTTAGGGAAAAAAATTAAAACTAAGTTCAGGGAACATTTTATGACAATGCCTGTAGTTCAAGGGACAACGGTGTAATTTGTCCTTAAAAATTTAAAGCACACGAAGCAAAACTGCTTCCATATCTAACAATTAAAAAGACATAACCGAAAAATAAAAAAAAAAGCCTTCTCTACCATACATATTAGAAAACGAAATATGGATTAACCCTTAACTTTCAGGAACTTTCTCTAATATGCATTCTTATTGGTAGAGCTAATTTTAGACCGTTGAATTTAATTAAGCCTTATAACTTAAAAAAAAATATAGAATTAACAATTTTTTATACAAATCTAATAAGTGAAAAATAAAGAACTAATAATAGTACATTTTTCTAATCCTTTCCTCTAGCTCACTTTCATCAGAGCATATATAACTTAAAACCTGTCTATACCCCATCTCATTAGCTCTATGATTTACCAAGAAAGACCGACACTTACGCCTAGGAGTTATAAAAATATGCTTTCAGTAACCCAATTTCTTATATTGCATTGATCAATAATATATTGAGGCTCAGAAAGCGAGTAGTCCATTGTTACTGTTAGCGTACGCTGTGGGGCAACTTGATTGTCAGATATCAATTTAATCACTGGAATTTGGGTCTCATTCACTTTGCGGATTGAGTTTTCAATTCGAGCTGAGATGTGACATTTTGTGAGAATTTTTCACTGTAACAGAAAAAATTAAATGTGATATTTTTTGAGAGTTTATTACTGTAGAAACTTAAAACTGAAAACTCAAATCGGTGAAATGAACGATACATTAATTATTAAATATGGCCTTCCATCCGCTTTTCATTCACATCTTATTATAGTCAATACCATAATAATGTCTTACCAAAACTTTTACGCTATTTGGTGTCTTAATACTCTTGTATAGGAAAAGAGGTCATCTCATATTATAATATTGTTTCAACAGGAAGTTTGTTGAACTTTTTTAAATTTGACTCAAGGATTTCATCTTGGTCAAGATATGAATGCCAATAAAAAATACGATAGTGTTAAAGATCCTGTATTGTTGCGAATTGAGATCTGGAATATTGGGAAATGCTTGTGCATGTGTGATTCTCTTCAAGCTGCATTTTCTGTACAACACAACTCGACAATTTCATTAGTCCCCCTTTCGAGAATAATGTTAGAAATCCAAATTTTTTTTTTTTTGATACTTACTAATCCGTGCAATGTATCAATTTTCTAAATACCTATCAATAAAAGAATAATAATTCTTATGTTAATTTTTAAAAAGTGAATACAAAATATTATTATCATAAAAAAAAAAAAAACTAACAAAATATTATTCAAATCATTAAAACTCGTAAAATTCGCTTTATCGATTCAACATCAGCCTCAGATTCACAAAAGAATGACATGGATGCTACTCTATTGAGCGCATTATACTCCCAATCTTAGTAATACAAAACTTGAGTACTCTCACAGCATATATGCACACAAATTTCAACATTAGAGCCAACAGCACTGATACGTTCATATTAACAACTATTTAAGGTGTGTTCCGCAACCTCAAAAAAAACAACTCAAATTACAACTTTATTTAAGGTCCCGTTCACTTCGCTGATTCGAGTTTAGAATTCAAGTTTTTCTACAGTAAAAAGCTCTCACAAACAATCACATCTAACTTTTTTGCTACAGTAAAAAGCTCTCACATAAAATCACATCTCAACTCGAATTCTAAACTCGAATCAGCGAAGTGAACGGGGCATAAGTTAATATTTTTTTAAGTTTGAACTCAAGTTTGAATTCGAGTTTAAACTCGAGTTTGAGACTAAAACTCGAGTTCAAGTTTCTCCTTCAACTCGAGTTCAGAAACTCAAACTCAAATTAATGAACAGTATTTTTTCTATTATTAAAAATATTATAACTTTTTCGTTTTAATCTTGATTGAGATGATTTTTTTTATGCGTTGACAACGAAAAAACGAATAAAACCCAATCCATATACCCTATTAAAAATTTTCATCACTATTGAATTTTTATTAAAATACTATATAAATACAAATTCAAGTTTTGACTCACTCAAACACAAATTTAAAAAGATTTTTATCTCAAACCATAACTCAAATGTACACAACCAAACACACACTCAAGTTACAACTTCAACTCAAGTTATAACTCAAACTTAACTTAAGATCTTCATTCAAGAATGCATAACTCAAAAATGCAAAAGAACAACCCCTAAGAATACATCAACCTCCTGTGCTAAGCCAATTGAAAATTTTGGACAACACAACATTTGCAGGCTAGAGATAATTTGAGGTTTTTCTTCCCTTTTGTCTGACAATTGAGATGCTAGAACAGCCCGAAATTAGTCAGAAACCTCTGCAGAGTTTTACGGCCCCATTGATGATCATTGCTCATGATATTATCGCCTTCTGGCTCAGAGTCGGACCGCTCTTCATTGTTAGAACTATGAGGTTTTTGTTGCAATTCATTATCAACCTTCTCTTCCTCGTCATTGTTGAACACGTCATTAGTCATTTCTTTTTCGGACAGGTGACTCTCCGGTTCTTGCTTCTCATCCAGCGGAATCTATAGATTTGAGTTCATGTAAAACGAGTTAAACAAAATGTCAGTAATGACATCAAGAAGATAGGAAGTTTAAGATAATATCGAAGAATAGTCTGATGCCTTAAACAAAGAAATGGACATGAGTTTCATGCAATGTCTTTAGCTCTTATTGCCATGAGTTTCATGCATCACAAAGTGCATCTTAGACTTTAGGTCAGGAATCTGATTTTCAGGATCGGCAGTGGAAAAGACAAAAAAGGAAATATGAAATGCTCAAGGAAATACTTTGGTAGTATATGTCAAGTTTATTCTTTCTTGAGGCATTTCAAGTTCGACGTGAAACTGAGAAAAGCTGATTGCTTATGGCTTGCATTTCGCATTCAATAAAGGATTACAATATTGCAAAAGGAATCATACTTTTGAGAAAAAGACTTGACTTGCCATACATCATTTCAGTAAATGAACTATTTTCTACTGAAAACATTATTAAATGGAATTCTCTTTGTAGCATAGATGGATTCCAAGAACATAAGAGTTGACACCATCAAATCTCAGAGACTTTGGACAAGTAACAGTTTCTGGGAACTGAAAGGAGTATTATTTTAGACCAAGAGAGGCTAGTTCAAGAAGAGAACACAAGGAAATTAAGAACTTCACACCCATCAAGCATTTACCTCTGGCAAATTATGATCCTTATCTTCAAATGCTTTAACAGATTCGTCAAAGGAAATCCTATTCTCAACCTGATCATGCTTTTCTTCTTCGTTTGGCATTGATGGTGCCGGAGTCAAGCCAGGAACCAGGACAGGTTCTCCTTCGTGGTCGACTAGGTTTGTGCTCACCAGATTCATGATCGTTGCATCTCTACCATTGTTTTCTAAAATTTCATCCACTATCGTAACACTGTTGTTCAAAATAACAGTGAAATTCTCATTTGTAGAATCAACTCTCTTTTCACTGAGCACTTGAGAACTAAGATTCGGTATGGGGTCATTCTTTGTGTAACTTATATCATCTGCAACGAGAGTTTTCGGCTTCTCAATTGGTTCTACTAATGGTATATCTGCTTGATTTGAATCCTTGTTAACTATTGCTAATTCACTGTGATCTTCAATAACTAATTTCCCTTGGTTCTCCTTTTTGTCAGCAGCTTGTTCTTCCTCACTTACTGTCTGAAGTTCAGCATTTTCCCAATCTTCAGAGACAGTGATTGTGTTCTTTGTTTCCCAAGTCTGAAAAACTCGATTGGGACCTGGTTGCCACACGATTTCCCCAGTGCTGTCCTTAAGTATGAACTTGAACTGGATTGACTTTCCAACAGGTATATCCTATTTTTAAATCCAAAGCAAAAACCACATTAATTATTGTCTGCAAAATTTGTATATGCTATGTTCCTTTCTAAAGTTCAACTCACCAGCTCAACAGTCCACACATGCCCTTCGGACCAGTTTAATGGCACCGCGCTCTCTGGGTCCCACAAACCAAACATAGGGTCATCCCCCACAATGAGAAATTGCTCGCCAAACACGCATTCTTTCAGCAAATGGAATTTGACATGAACCGTTTTTGATTGATCTGCAAAACAGAGAAGTGGCACTAAGATAAAGAATTCAGAATAAAGACTGCGAAAGAACAAAAAATTAATCGAAGTATGAACGTACATATTTCCTCAGTTTGAGCATTTTCTGTCCCGAAATCTACCTGAAATCAGAGCAGGACTATCAGTACCAACAAGATCATCTACCGCTAAATTACTTGCATTATAAGTTAACATTGATGATTATTAATATTATTAATTTTCCCCTTTTGGGTGGGGAGTTGAACATGGAAATCTCATTAAAATCTAGAAGAAAGAAAGCCATCTGCCCTTTAGACTTCTAGTCTTTTTTCAAAACACGGTGAAAGAAACTTGCTTCAACAAAGGGCAAAGATAAAAGAAAGAAATTAACATGCTTTGAGAAAGCCTTCCAGCAAACCAATAAAGGTTCTTTTATTCCATTCTTGATCTTCAATTAAATAAAAGAAAGATAACAAGAATAAGAAAGCAAAAACCACTAGATTTTTGTTCCAGTAAAATGCCAGTGAATTAATCCCCCAAAAAAATTGTTGATTAGATTCTAAACACACGGAAAAAGACAATCCAAACCCCGCCAAGAATTAAGAGAGACAGCATTAACAGTCAAAAGTAACGTGACAAAAAAAAAACCAAAAATGGAAAATAACCCACAAAATTAATAACAGGGAAATCAACAAATGATCATAAATTCTTGAAATAAAGAAAAAAGAAAAAGCGACATGTACTGGGTGTTTACAAAACAATTAAACTTAAATTCATCAATTCAATAAAAGTACTGTGTTTACTAAGAGAAGAAGAATTAGAGAGATAAAATACCTGGGTTTTAGATGAGAGACAAAAAACCGGGTAAATAACAGCCTTTCTCTGTTTGACGAAAACCGAATTTAAGAACCCAAAACCAGAAACTTTCCTATTACTCCGCAGAAAACAGTTCTCGAATGATCTTCTCACAAACATAGAAGAAGAACAGCAACTTCCTCTCTCCAAGCCGACCCTGCAACTCGGGCTCGTTAGGGCTTTCATAACTCGGCCGACTCAGTAGTAACTCACTCGAAATCGTTTTGTGGCTTTTTTTTTCCCAGTTTTTAACAGGTTGTTTTTTTCTCTGTTTTCTGTGTAGTGACTACTGAATGTGAACCAAGTGTAGTCTGTTCTTGTGGTTGGTAATCGAATTAATTAGTTATGTAGTGGTGCGGTCCTCAGGAGCTAACGAGACAGATATGGTGTCACGCGGTGACAAGACACGTAATCCGTGAACCTTGAACTGAATTGAATTATGAATCCTTTCACTGTTGGAATTATGATTCGTACCTGATTCGAATCATGGTTCATAATTTGTTATAATATTTTCTCTCATAAAAAATATACGTAAATTAAAAATAGTTTTAATCTCATGATTCTAATCCATAAACTAAACGTCTTCTAACAACTCTGTCACGCCCTAAAATAGGGATTAATGATACGCGAGTTCGTTTAGAAGTTAAACACGATTAGAAAAGTAATTAAACATTTAGAAACATAATAATCAAAATCAAAGATAAATTATTAAAAAAATTTCTAAATAAGCCCCACATTTTACTGAAATTAAATTACAAGAAAGTGATGAGAACTTTCACACTTTCTGATAAAAGAGGGTTAAAAACTGAACCTATGGCATCATTCAGAGCTTCACCCACAGGATATACAATATTGTACATACATGAACATATCAATAACATTACAGACATCAACCACAGTTTAAAAATCTAAAATTCAGAGTTTCAGAATTTACAATTCTTACATTTGTATACCAAGATAAAGAATACAATCCTCACTTAATCGGGCGGTAGCAATTAATTCAGCTACTCTGCGCTGCTTCTAGCATCGCCTGAGAGGGTTTAATATTTATAGAAACAAATAAAACATGAGCGGAAGGCCCAATAGGATGTATTTTGAAATAAATTTTTATAAACAAGTAAATAAATGAATAAGCAAGTAAATAAATAAATAAATATATTTGGTTCCAACATAACAGCCAGAATCTCACATCCTTTTTCTGAAAGGAAATATAAATTGAAAATTCTGTATTACAGGCATCAGTAAGTAATTTATCCTCTGATAAATTACTTACACAGCCATAAGTACAAGCCTTATCACCATCGTAGTGTCCCGGTCTGGGTTTCGGGTTCTGTCCCAAGGATATGATCTCCATATCCTATCTAGGCCATCAATAGGGTTACCGGTTTGCAAGATATCTTATCTTAAGAAATCATTCATTAAAACTCTGAAATAGTTCATTATAATTCCAATAGCTAAAATTAAGCTATTGTGTTAAAATGCTTTTGTTTCACAAATATGTCCTTTCTTTAAAATCTTTGCAAGGTCAAAACTCTTTTAAAAACAGGCTGTCAAAGAAATGATAAGAAATCCTACCTCTTAAGCACCAAATATGTGGCTAGCGTTACGCTATCCTAGCATCCGCTTCCTTGAAGCCTTCAATTCGATTCTTGAACTATCATTAATACAAAACAACGCTTTAGGATTCATTTTCCATTCCTAAAGTAAATTGATCTCAAGTATACACTTCGATTTCCTACTAGTGTGCCTTAATTCAATTCCAAGTTTCATAAATCATTTCATGTTTCAAATCATCATCTCAAGGGTTTTGATTTTAAAACATGGATTAAAGATGCTAATCCATCTTCTTTAGGCCCCTAAATGAAGCTAATTTGGGTTCTCTTTGAAAATCAAGGTCAAAACAGGGTTTCAAAACAACTCAGCCTCGTTTCCTCAGTCAACCGGGCGACCAGTGACATAGAGGTGCATCACCACCGGTCGGCCAATGGTGTGCTAACCGGTCGACTGCATAAGTCGGCCGGTGGAGATCAGTAGGGCGAGAAAACTCGCCGAATCAGTTCAAAAACTGTCACGCCCCCCAAACGGGGTGGGTGACGTGGAGCTCGATTAGGGATTAATAAAACAGATTCCCTTTTGTTTTAGTTTTTTATTTTTATTTTTCTTCTAAATTGATTTTTTGCTATTTTTTGTCGAGCCGACCACACCTCTGGGCGCCCGAGCCGACCGACAGGCTGAGGGCAATGGAAACAATCTGTGTAAAACAAAGCTGTGACCTATGCCCCAAAAGGGAGGGAGAGAGAGAGATCTCTCGTCAGGTTGGGTATTGTCGCCGGAGGGGTAGTCGTGCCCCCGATGGACCTAGGGTGGAAACGCCCCCCGGATTACTCACGGGCAGCGTGAGGAACCGGGTTAAAAAAAGTCGCGATCAGAAGGGCCCCACACTTAACTGCATTAAAATATACATGAATTACATAATCCAGGAGCCTCTGACACACAGGGCTCCACCCCACAGGACATACAGTATCGTACATACATGCACATGTAAATAATCAATTACAATAGACATCATCCACAGTCTAGTAAATCCAAATGTCATTTATTACAAATTCTTACATATTCCTTACAATTTATGTCAGAGGATGAACACAATCCTCACTTGATCGTTCCGTAGCACCACTCAGCTACTCCCGCTACTGTGCCCCGCTCCTAGAGTCTCCTGGGAGGGATTTTAGACATTTGAAACATAAAACGTGAGCGAAAGGCCCAGTAGGAAATATTTAAATGAGCGCATGAATAAATGATTGAATACATAAATAAAATAAGACATTCAGTCCCGACAGAACAGCCGGAACGGAACC